TCTGTGAAATCAAACTGTCCACTTAGGAAGCAACACTGCTTGACAATACATTTCACATGCTGTTGTGCAAATGGTATAGACAACAGGTGGAAATTATAGGCAATTAGCAAGACACCCCCAATAAAGAAGTGGTTCTGCAGGTGGTGACCACAGACCACTTCTCAGTGCCTATGCTTCCTGGCTGATGTTTTGGTCACTTTTGAATGCTGGCAGTGCTTTCACTCTAGTGGTAGCATGAGACGGAGTCTACAACCCACACAAGTGGCTCAGGTAGTGCAGCTCATCCAGGATGGCACATCAATGCGAGCTGTGGCAAGAAGGTTTGCTGTGTTTGTCAGCGTAGTGTCCAGAGCATGGAGGCACTACCAGGAGACAGGCAAGTACATCAGGAGACGTGGAGGAGGCCGTAGGAGGGCAACAACCCAGCAGCAGGACCGCTACCTCCGCCTTTGTGCAAGGAGGAGCAGGAGGACTGCACTGCCAGAGCCCTGCAAAATTACCTCCAGCAGGCCACAAATGTGCATGTGTCTGCTCAAACGGTCAGAAACAGACTCCATGAGGGTGGTATGAGGGCCCGACGTCCACAGGTGGGGGTTGTGCTTACAGCCCAACACCATGCAGGACGTTTAACATTTGCCAGAGAACACCAAGATTGGCAAATTCTCCACTGGCGCCCTGTGCTCTTCACAGATGAAAGCAGGTTCACACTGAGCACATGTGACAGACGTGACAGAGTCTGGAGACGCCGTGGAGAATGTTCTGCTGCCTGCAACATCCTCCAGCATGACCGGTTTGGCGGTGAGTAAGTCATGGTGTGGGGTGGCATTTCTTTGGGGGGCCGCACAGCCCTCCATGTGCTCGCCAGAGGTAGCCTGACTGCCATTAGGTACCGAGATGAGATCCTCAGACCCCTTGTGAGACCATATGCTGGTGCGGTTGGCCCTGGGTTCCTCCTAATGCAAGACAATGCTAGACCTCATGTAGCTGGAGTGTGTCAGCAGTTCCTGCAAGAGGAAGGCATTGATGCTATGGACTGTCCCGCCCGTTCCCCAGACCTGAATCCAAATGAGCACATCTGGGACATCATGTCTCGCTCTAACCACCAACGCCACGTTGCACCACAGACTGACCAGGAGTTGGCGGATGCTTTAATCCAGGTCTGGGAGGAGATCCCTCAGGAGACCATCCGCCACCTCATCAGGAGCATGCCCAGGCATTGTAGGGAGGTCATACAGGCACGTGGAGGCCACACACACTACTGAGCCTCATTTTGACTTGTTTTAAGGACATTACATCAAAGTTGGATCAGCCTGTAGTGTGGTTCTCCACTTTAATTTTGAGGGTGACTCCAAATCCAGACCTCCATGGGCTGATAAATTTGATTTCCATTGATAATTTTTGTGTGATTTTGTTGTCAGCACATTCAACTATGTAAAGAAAAAAGTATTTAATAAGATTATTTCATTCCTTCAGATCTAGGATGTTGTTTAAGTGTTCCCTTTATTTTTTTAAAGAGTGTATATTTTGTGTGCAAATCACACCCTCTTAATGTGTCACAAATTTGAGGATTATGTTGATAATTTGGTGTGTCTAAAAGTGTAAAGGGAAATTACATTGTGAGCTAAATTCTCAATCATATGTCCTTATAAAAAAAAAAATATATATATAAGGCTTATATTTGAGCATCTGGGGCCTCCATTTAAAAAAAAATCCTTATTTTACCTAAAATGTGTCATTGGTGTTACTAATCAAAAAGTAATTAACCTGCCTTATTAGTTTATTTAAAATTAGAAGATTTACCCAAAGACATTGAAATCAAGAAAAATGTAGATTATTTTCAAATATGCTAAACTACAGGACTGTTTTGCTAGCACAGACTGGAATATGTTCTGGGATTCTTCCGATGGCATTGAGGAGTACACCACATCAGTCACTGGCTTCATCAATAAGTGCATCGATGATGTCGTCCCCACAGTGACCGTACGTACATACCCCAACCAGAAGCCATGGATTACAGGCAACATCCCCACTGAGCTAAAGGATAGAGCTGCCGCTTTCAAGGAGCGGGACTCTAACCTGGACGCTTGTAAGAAATCCTGCTATGCCCTCCGACGAACCATCAAACTGGCAAAGAGTCAATACAGGATTAAGATTGAATCGTACTACACCGGCTCTGACGCTCGTCGGATGTGGTAGTCATTGAAAACTATAACAGACTACAAAGGGAAGCACAGCCGCGAGCTGCCCAGTGACACAAGATTACCAGACGAGCTAAATCACTTCTATGCTCGCTTCGAGGCAAGCAACACTGAAGCATGCATGAGAGCATCAGCGGTTTCGGATGACTATGTGATCACGCTCTTCGTAGCCGATGTGAGTAAGACTTTTAAGCAGGTCAACATTCACAAGGTCGCAGGGCCAGACGGATTACCAGGACGTGTACGCCGAGCATGCGCTGACCAACTGGCAAGTGTCTTCACTGACATTTTCAACATGTCCCTGACTGAGTCTGTAATACCAACATGTTTCAAGCAGACCACCATAGTCCCTGTGCCCAAGAACACTAAGATAACCTGCCTAAATGACTACCGACCGTAGCACTCACGTCTGTAGCCAATGAAGTGCTTTGAAGGGCTAATCAACATTACCCCAGAAACCCTAGACCCACTCCAATTTGCATACCGCCCCAACAGATCCACAGATGATGCAATCTCTATTGCACTCCACACTGCCCTTTCCCACCTGGAGAAGAGGATCACCTACGTGAGAATGCTAATCATTGACTACAGCTCAGCGTTCAACACCATAGTGCCCTCAAAGCTCATCACTAAGCTAAGGACCCTGGGACTAAACAGCTCCCTCTGCAACTGGATCCTGGACTTCCTGACAGGCTGCCCCCAGGTGGTAAGGGTAGGTAACAACACATCTGCCACGCTGATCCTCAACACGGGGGCCCCTCAGGGGTGCGTGCTCAGTCACCTCCTATACTCCCTGTTCACCCATGACTGCATGGCCAGGCACGACTCCAACACCATCATTAAGTTTGCCGACGACACAACAGTGGTAGGCCTGATCACAGACAACGATGAGACAGCCTATAGGGAGGAGGTAAGAGACCTGGCTGTGTGGTGACAGGATAACAACCTCTCCCTCAATGTGATGAAGACAAAGGAGATTGTGGACTACAGGGGGAAAAAAGAGGACTGACCACGCCCCCATTGTCATCGACGGGGCTGTTGTGGAACAGGTTGAGAGCTTCAAGTTCCTTGGTGTCCACATCACCAACAAACTATCATGGTCTAAACACACCAAGACAGTCGTGAAGAGGGCACGACAAAGCCTATTCCCCTTCAGTAGACTGAAAAGATTGGGCATGGGTCCTCAGATCCTAAAAAAGTTATACAGCTGCACCATCGAGAGCATCCTGACTGGTTGCATCACCGCCTGGTATGGCAACTGATCGGCCTCCGACCGCAAAGCACTACAAAGGGTAGTGCGTACGGCCCAGTACATCACTGGAGCCAAGCTTCCTGCCATCCAGGACCTCTATACCAGGCGGTGCCAGAGGAAGGCCCTAAAAATTGTCAAAAGACTCTAGCCACCCTAGTCATAGACTGTTCTCTCTGCTACCGCACGGCTAACAGTACCGGAGCGCCAAGTCTAGGTCCAAAAGGCTTCTTAACAGCTTCTACCGCCAAGCCATAAGACTCCTGAACAGCTAATCATGGCTACCCGGACTATTTGCACCCCCCCCCCCCCCCCCAGAGCATTGGCTTCTTCTTCAAATTGGGTTGCCTGGTTTGTAAATGGGTTTAATCTGTATCATTGCCATTTAGTGGCCAAAATACTTGAATGACACAATATTTGGTTCAGGACACCAGCACTGCAGGTGGTGTTAAATCACCATTATAAGCTTTATGCTTTTTTTTTTTCACAAAAGAAGAACAATGATTACTTCAAAATGGAGATAGCCTTAATGTTGCTGCCCGTGTTGTCACAGATGCCATAATGAGACAGATACAGTATACTACAAATCATCCATCCATAAAAGGCCTAAAACAAAAATTGAGGGGCCATGTGCAGTGTGTGTATGTGTGTGTATATATGTATGTATGTGTGTGTGTGTGTGTGTGTGTGTGTGTGTGTGTGTGTGTGTGTGTGTGTGTGTGTGTGTGTGGATAAAAAGAAAAAGGCATATTTCCTCTCGAAAATGAACAATAAAGTAAATTTCAAATTTGTTGCGTAAGCCGTCGTGCATCATAAAACACTGTTGCACACTCAATAAAGATGCAGAGGTTTACATTCCTTAAGAAGTAGCAATTACAGCACAAGTGATTTTGGCCTTGTTCTCTGTACTTGCTTTTTACACACACACACAGACACACAGACACACACACACACACACTGGGGGAGATTTGTGGGTTAATAACTAATTGACCCTGATTAAGGCAGAGGAAACGGGTTGTTATGAAGACCAGCGCCAAAACATTCCTCCAGGAATTGGGTTTGTGAGCCCTGAGGTACACATAACATGGCACTGCACTGCGGACCAGAGTTACGAGATGCATTTGAGCTAAGTAGGAAGAATAAATAGAACAGAAGCAGACCTGGATTTCAAATACTTGAAAAATCGATTCAAATACTTTATCTGTGCCTATTTGAGCGTGACTGGCTTAATAAACCAATAGAAACTTCCCAAGATTGCAAACCCTGCCCATCTGGCACTCCAGGCAGACACAAGCAAAAAACATATTGTAAGAAGTATTTGAAAATAGGTATTTGATCCAGGTCTGCTACAATGATACACCTTGAGCTCTGAACAGCTTGTAGGATGGGAAAATACACACCCGCATGCACACACACACACACACACACACACACACACACACACACACACACACACACACACACACACACACACACACACACACACACACACACACACACACACACACACACACACAAACACACACACACACACACACACACACACACACACCAGAGGGGATGGGCGGGGGGGAGTGGATCTCCAGGAAGGGGATTCGGACGGAGGTGGGTGCTCTCCTTGCGACCTCAGCGTCTCCATTGTTAAGCAGCAGGTCCACGATCTCCTGGGTCCACGTGGTTCCTGGGAGACAGCAAAGGTAGAGGGGCCCATTGAAATATAATTACTAGAAGCCCCTCAGACCACGGCAATTTGACTCGAACACTCATGGGTACCGCCAACAGTCCACCTATCACGGAAGATTGACTTGAATGAGAATGTCCATTCTAGTAATCTATTTCTTTGGAGTTGACATTACTCCAGGGGTATGCAGTGGACATTCCAAACCAGTGGACAGTAGAATAAATGTGTTCTCCCACTCCAAAATTAAAGTTTTTCAGATGTCGAAAGTACCCACATGAAAAAATACTATATGGTGTAAATACTATAGTATTCACTGTAGTGTTTTTGCGGACATACTGTAGTATTTACAGTTTACTATAGTTGAAATACTGTAGTAAAAAAAACTGTAGTATATACTATATGAATTACTGTAGTGCTTTTGTGGACTTTGGTATAAATTATTGTAATAACTGTAGTGTTTTTGCGGACTGTTGTATACTGTAGTATGTATGTAGGGTTTTTGCGGACTGTAGTATACTATAGGATTTACTATAGTGTTTTTGTTTTATTATCTTTGACATAGAAGTGGGGGATTTCACCTTCAGGAAATTGACTGGACAAATACTAAAAGAGCCCATTTTCCATAACCTGTAGGTAGGACTGGGGTCTGAATGAATAGTTCAGAGCTTCTGCTCTTTTCTATAACCTATAGGGAACACAGTATATGGTCTATACTTGGCATGTACAGGTAACTGCCAAAAATAATGGAAACACTTAAGTAAATTAGGGATGCAAAGTATATTGAAAGCAGGTGCTTCCACAGAGGTGGTGTTCATGAGTTAATTAAGCAATCAACATCCCATCACGCTTAGGGTCATGTATAAAAATGGTCAATGTTATCCTTGAACATTTAATTATCTGGCAACAACTCTGTTGGACATTCCTTCAGTCAGCATGCCAATTGCACGCTCCCTCAAAAGACATCTGTGGCATTGTGTTGTGTGACAAAACTTCACATTTTAGAGTGGCCTTTTATTGTCCCCAGCACAAGGTGCACCTGTGTAATGATCATGCTGTTTAAATCAGCTTCTTGATATGCCACACCTGTCAGGTAAATGGATTATCTTGGCAAAGGAGAAATGCTCACTAACAGGGATGTAAACAAATTTGTACACAAAATGGGACCAACACTTTACATGTTGCGTTTATATTTTTGTTCAGTATAGAATCCATGCCAAGGTGCATTGAAGCTGTTCTGGTTCGTGGTGGCCCAACGACCTAATAAGACACTTTATGTTGGTGTTTCCTTTATTTTGTCAGTTTCATGTATGTTTCTCACTTATGGGTTTCTGCGGACTGTAGTGTTTCTGTGGACATTAGTCTTTTTTCATGTGGGTTGTCTTCTGTTGAGATACTGTAACTCCACGACGTCCCAGGTTAAGAAGATATAGCTATGAACCACAATCCAAAATCAATGGAAAGGATAAGCACCATATTGTTTTCAGGATTCGCTGTGCTTATCTGGTTAATTCATTTTGGTTTGAGGCATATAGCTAGCACAGGTGGCTGGAGGCACCTTCATTTGGGAGGACGGGCTCATAGTAATGGCTGGAATGGAATTATTAGAATGGTATCAAATACATGATTTCTTTGCGTTTGACACCATTCCATTCACTCCATTCCAGCCATTATTACGTCCTCCCCTCACCAGCCTCCTGTTAAGCTAGCTCTAGGCAACCGATGCCGTGGTATGTGGACTCATCTGGCATTCGACTACTTTTAAGGTCTCAAAATATCGGACAAACTTTGATTTCAAACTTGTCCCTTTAATTTTGCCTGGTTGAACCGGACTGAACCCTGCGACCGTCATTCGGTGAGCGCAGTATTCGGTCTGGTTTAACCAGGCTACCTTTAATCATCTGTGAATTACAAAATCAATGAATGAATAACCTCTTTCCAGTTACCTGCTTTGGGGTAGGTGGCAATAAGGAGGTCGGAGGGATCGGGGCGGAAGGCCCAGATAGAGTCCCAGTTATGGGCAATGTGGCACATGAGAGGGACCCCTTGGATCTTGATCAGGGGGAAGCGGTGGATGGCGTCGCCCGCTGCCATGATGGCCTCGCTGAACGACAGCCCTTCTTTCCCAGCCATGACTTCAAATTCCTCCACGAGGAAGCAGAACCGCAAGCCCACAAGGAGACCACAGGGAGCCCAAGAACGTAAAAGTGTCCGGTCTTCTGCTTATCTTCCTGGAGTGGTTGGTCCTCTTCGTCAGTATGCACAATAAGTTGACTTGCTTGCTCTTCCCTCTGTATCACTCTAGCTTTCTAAATGCTTTCTCTCTCTCGCTCTCTGCAAGATCGCTCACTTTTCTTTTGTTTATCCTAAATACCTTTCTCTGTATCTCTTGTCTTCTGAAGATGAGAAAAGCACAGAAGAGAATTTGGGATTTGTCTCCACCTTAGCTGCTCTTGATTCCGGTGTCTGCTCTCGGACTAGTCTTTGTCTGCTCTATCTCTCTTTGTTCTTATTCTCTCTCTCTCTCTCTCTCTGTAAGATTTGATAATATGATCTTACTCCCTTCTTACTATCCCTATCTGGGTAGGTCCAAAATGTTCTCTCCCTCCTCCTACTCTGTTTCTAAACTCCTCTCTCTGGCTGAGTGCTGTCTGCCTGCTCTGAGCTCTATCCACCGTAAGCCATACGGACTTCCTATACAAAAGTGCCCTTATGTAACTCCCGAGGCCAGACTGAATTCCACTTTTTTTTTTTATCTTACCACTGAATCTGGAGTTCGAGGGAGGGACAAGGGAGTGTCTAGAACTATCTGATCCAAACAGAGAAGTTAGCCAAATATCCCTTTTCCTATTTACTTTCCAAGTAAAAGCATGTTGCTATAGACTAATTAAGAAACAAACAAAAGACAGCACAAGGACATTTGATTGACTTAGATTAGTTTAATTAGATAAGTATTCACTTTTTATATTATGGCTGCTTTGAAATTCCATTGTTCTTTGTCTAATCTCCTGCTCTCACACAAGTTTTACAGATCCCTTGGATGCTTGCCAACACAAGTTTGGTGAAAAAGAGAGCGTGCACTGTTTACCCTCTTATGAAACGTTGAAGCCTGCTAGTTTGCAAACGCTCCCTAAAGTTAGTTAACTTTGGACTTAAGTCCTAAAGTCGTCAAGTCTTGTGAGCCAATGGCTGGAGCAACAGGCCTCAGGCACTTTGGCAGAGTCAAACATTTATTGAGTTAAGTAATCAGTGTGCACCAAAGAAACGTAGTTTTAGAATTATTAATTTAAGGTTCCGCATTAGTTAAACACACAGCGACCGACAACCGAATAGTGCCGTTGAATGTTACATTGCTTCTCCTTAGAGGCCCTACTTTTTGGAATGCTTCTGACCATCTCGCTCCAGCAGATACACTCTGGTCCCAGACGTGGCTGCTATCAGGCCCTTCCACTTCCCCACTGGACAAACGGACGAGCCAAACACGGCCGAGGACAGGCCCAGCAACCTGGACTCAGTCTGAGAGGGAAGGGAGAGGGAGAGGAGGGAGAGCAAGGGGGAGAAAGAGCAAGAGGGAGGGAGAGGGGGAGGGAGAAGGAGAAGGAGAGGAAGAGTAAAAGAGAGAAAAATAAAGACAGAAATAGAAAGAGGTGGTTTAAGAACATTAGATTTCTGTGAATTCATAATTATATAAATTTCTTCAGTGTTGATTTGAACAACATGTATTTCCATGCATTATTAGGACAAAGAAGTGCCACTGATTACCAGATGAGAACAATGGTGAAGGACCTTGATGTGATTACATTGAGCACTGTCACCAGCCACGTCATCATAATGCAAAACGCATCATTCCAATATCTTGAAAACTTGACTGCTGACATGTAAAACATTTTGGGACTGTATCAACAGTGGACTAATAAAAATAAATACCAAAATATAGTTTTTGAGTGGATTTTCCCTTTAAACCTTGATCGATGGACAGTCAGTATTTTTTCAGAGGGTAAACAACGTGCTGTAGGAGGAAGGTAAACAGTTGCTAGCTAAGAGATGGCCATTGTAAAATGGCAAGTATACTATTGAGTGCCATTTTCTGTTTATAAAGTGCATAAATAAATATTTTATCGCTTCTCTCAGAGTTTTGTTTACTGTATAAATGACTCACCGTACAATAATAGGCTTGAACAATAAAGCTGCAAGACATCTTACTTCACAATAATTCTTACATATTTATAAACTTTGCTACTTTATACTGTACCTAAAATACCAATATACTAACCGTCATAGTCCACCGGTTGATGACTCTCAGCATATTTGATTGGCTCCCAGCTGCCACGATGTGATCCTGGCCAAGCCAATGGCATGTGTAGATCTGTGCGAACAACAATTTGACACGAGCACTTTTAGAAAAAATTATTCCAGAAGGGTTCTTTGGGTGTCTCAATGGGATAACCCTTTGAAGAACTCTTGTGTTTTCCAGGTAGAACCCTTTTTGTTTCCTCTGTGGAAAGGGTTCTACATGGAATCGAAAAGGGTTGTACCTGGAACCCAAAAGGGTTCTTCAAAGGGCTCTCCCATGGGGACAGCCGAAGAACCTTATTAAGTTCTAGATATAACCTTTTTTTGTAAGAGTGGAATAGTATTTGAGGTTTAGATAATTATTTGTGGCTATATTGATGGACTCACTTTGCTCTCTCCTTGGTAGTCATGAGGCACTTCAGTCACTTTCTGACCTGAGACATAATCCCAGATCTCAAAAAGAGAGAGAGAGGGAGAAAGAGTGTGAGAGAAAGATAAATATGCATGCTATGCATTTGCATGCACTGCAGCTGTCTTGTCTGCACCCACTTTGGCACCCAAACTTCCCAATACATTGTGTAATAAGCTATAGTTTTAGGGTCATGCCCTGGTATCAATATGTAGATAATAATCACATTGATTAAAATAGGAAAACAGTTGTTAAAGATTGTGTAAAGTTACAGTACCTGAATTGAGGGAAAATTTTGTTGTATTAAGATGACAATAATAATATGTTGTCAAAGTCATAGACAATGATTGGAGGATTATGTGACTTCCTGTAACTAGACAGATCTCTAACCTTTAACCCTGAGAAAGGTTACCCTAAACCTCTCAGCATGTACTGAATAAAATCTGATTACTTTTGGATGACTTCCTTGGTTAGCCTGCAACTGCCTCCTCAGTTTATGCTGCAAACAGATACACTGAGTATACAAAACATTTAGAACACCTGCTCTTTCCATGACATAGACTGACCAGGTGAATCCAGGTGAAAGCTACAGTATGATCCCTTATTGATGTCACTTGTTAAATCCACTTCAATCAGTGTAGATGAAGGGGAGGAGACAGGTCAAAGAAGGATTTCTAAGCCTTGAGACAATTGAGACATGGATTGTTTATGTGTGCCATTCAGAGGGTGAATGGGAAAGACAAAAAATGTAAGTGCCTTTGAACAGTTGGTGTATGGTAGTAGGTGCCAGGCGCACCGGTGTGTGTCAAGAACTGCAACGCTGCTGGGTTTTTCATACTCAACAGTTTCCCGTGTGTATCAAGAATGGTCCACAACCCAAAGGACATCCAGCCAACTTGACAAAACTGTGGGAAGCATTGGAGTCAACAGGGGCCAGCATCCCTGTAGAACGCTTTCGACGCCTTGTAGAGTCCATGCCCCAATGAATTGAGGCTGTTCTGAGGGCAAAAGGGGGTTGTTCCTAATGTTTGGTATACTCAGTGTAAATTCAATCTCTAAATAACCTTCCAGCAATCTTGGTCGTCACTATCTGGGCAAGTGGCAAAGATATAAACCCCACCTACAGTGAGGGAAAAAAGTATTTGATCCCCTGCTGATTTTGTACGTTTGCCCACTGACAAAGAAATTATCAGTCTATAATTTTAATGGTAGGTTTATTTGAACAGTGAGAGACAGAAAAACGCATGTCAAAAATGTTATAAATTGATTTGCATTTTAATGAGGGAAATAAGTATTTGACCCCCTCTCAATCAGAAAGATTTCTGGCTCCCAGGTGTCTTTTATACAGGTAACGAGCTGAGATTAGGAGCACACTCTTAAAGGGAGTGCTCCTAATCTCAGCTTGTTCCCTGTATAAAAGACACCTGTCCACAGAAGCAATCAATCAATCAGATTCCAAACTCTACACCATGGCCAAGACCAAAAAGCTCTCCAAGGATGTCAGGGACAAGATTGTAGACCTACACAAGGCTGGAATGGGCTACAAGACCATCGCCAAGCAGCTTGGTGAGAAGGTGACAACAGTTGGTGCGATTATTCGCAAATGGAAGAAACACAAAAGAACTGTCAATCTCCCTCGGCCTGGGGCTCCATGCAAGATCTCACCTCGTGGAGTTGCAATGATCATGAGAACGGTGAGGAATCAGCCCAAATCTACACGGGAGGATCTTGTCAATGATCTCAAGGCAGCTGGGACCATAGTCACCAAGAAAACAATTGGTAACACACTACGCCATGAATGACTGAAATCCTGCAGCGCCCGCAAGGTCCCCCTGCTCAAGAAAGCACATATACATGCCCGTCTGAAGTTTGCCAATTAACATCTGAATGATTCAGAGGAGAACTGGGTGAAAGTGTTGTGGTCAGATGAGACCAAAATTTAGCTCTTTGGCATCAACTCAACTTGCCGTGTTTGGAGGAGGAGGAATGCTGCCTATGACCCCAAGAACACCATCCCCACCGTCAAACATGGAGGTGGAAACATTATGCTTTGGGGGTGTTTTTCTGCTAAGGGGACAGGACAACTTCACTGCATCAAAGGGACGATGGACGGGCCATGTACCGTCAAATCTTGGGTGAGAACCTCCTTCCCTCAGCCAGGGCATTGAAAATGGGTCGTGGATGGGTATTCCAGCATGACAATGACCCAAAACACACGGCCAAGGCAACAAAGGAGTGGCTCAAGAAGAAGCACATTAAGGTCCTGGAGTGGCCTAGCCAGTCTCCAGATCTTAATCCCATAGAAAATCTGTGGAGGGAGCTGAAGGTTGGAGTTGCCAAACGTCAGCCTCGAAACCTTAATGACTTGGAGAAGATCTGCAAAGAGGAGTGGGACAAAATCCCTCCTGAGATGTGTGCAAACCTGGTGGCCAACTACAAGAAACGTCTGACCTCTGTGATTGCCAACAAGGGTTTTGCCACCAAGTACTAAGTTGTGTTTTGCAGAGGGGTCAAATACTTATTTCCCTCATTAAAATGAAAAATCAATTTATAACATTTTTGACATGCGTTTTTCTGGATTTGTTTGTTGTTATTCTGTCTCTCACTGTTCAAATAAACCTACCATTAAAATGATAGACTGATCATTTCTTTGTCAGTGGGCAAACGTACAATATCAGCAGGGGATCAAATACTTTTTTCCCTCACTGTATTTCTCTTCTTAAAATCAGATTTGAAACCTAACCTTATGCCTAACCCTAACCTTAAATTGAGGTCATTTTTGTTTTCATAAATTTTAATGATACTGTAGCTCATTTTGACTTTGCTGCTTGCCCATCTAGTGGGAACCATCAATCTTGGGCAAGTGCTGGCTCAACTTCCTACTGCATCTTCTTGATTTAATGGCATCACGGCTAAAAGGTCAGCTTCACTTTCAAGTTCCAGGGAAAGCTTTCCCAACCCACATAAAAAAATAAAAATAAAAATATTTAAATACTGTAACAGTCTAGTATATTTTTGTTGTGACCCCAGACAAGCACACCTGATTCTACTTGCCAACTAATCATCAAGCCTTTGACAAGTTGAATCAAGTGTTTTATATTATTTTTTACTGTACTCTGATAACTTTTCAAAAGTTATCTGGGCTGTGACTTAATTTTTGTAATCTGATTACATCATCCCTGTTACATGTAATCCGTTACTACCCAACCCTGTTTGTTTATTGCTGTTGTTGTCACCTCCAGTGCATTGTCCTTCCTCCAGGAGCCAGACAGGATGTGATTGACAGCTGGGTCGATTTGAAGCGTGTCGCCACACACGTGAGGACCCGAAAGCATCCTAAAAGTGGGGTAGACAAAGATAATGCCTGATATAACATGTCCATGGCTAATCTGGACGCATACACCATAATGCTGACGCACAAACCATAATGATTGAAGACAAATAAAACAATTATAGTTTTACCTGACAGAGTGCTGCTGTCTGGTGTCCCAAAACTGTGAGAAGACAAATGTTATTAGACAGATGTTTTAAATAAATTGAATTGAATCACTTTGACTGGAAAATCGGCTTGCTTGCCACAAAGTTGATCTCCTAAAACAGGGGTATCAAACGAAATTCTTGGAGGGCCATGTGTCTACAGGTTATCACTCCTCCCTTGTACTTCATTGATCAATTAATGTCATTGTCACCGCTCTCACCTGGTTGCCTAGGTCTTCACTGAATACGAATTGAAAATAAATAACAAAGGCCAGCAGACACAAAGCCCTCCAGGAATCGACTTTGACACCCTTGTCCTAGAACAAATGTAAGAATGTGGTCTCTAGTTACTAGACCAGACTAGTGTTTACAAACCTCCACAAAACAAGCTTCTTAAGATTTTTGGATTTCTTTTTTTATACAGTAAACTGCAATTGTTACCTGTATGGTGTTGTCCCATCCCCCAGAAATGAATTCTCTCTCCATTTCTGGGTGAAAAGTCACTGCGAAAACCCGAAAACTATGTCCATCCATAACTGTTCTTGTGGAGCTGAAAATAAAATGGTGGAAAATAAATACTGGTCGAAACAACGACCTAAAGTGACTCAAAATTATTTTATTTTGTAAAGAAAGATCGGAGTTCCGACCTTCTCACATGTTTTGTATTTTTTTGACAGCACACAGGAATAGACAGATGAGAAGTGCTGAGACGGGATTTGTACTCACTTCGCTAGGGGTATATTTGGTCCGGGGTCAGGGGGGCTAAATGTTTTACTAAAATGTTTTATTTAAAATAATGATAAAATTGTCATAATGTTCCACATCAGGAAAAAACATGTATTGTAGAAAATGTAGTTTTCAGGGGTTACTACTGTTTTACCCACCTGGCCCTGCAGGTCATCAGTCTCTGGTGAGTGGAGAGGTCATACAGATGAATGGCTGAGTCAGACCCCCCTGTGGCTGCTTTCTCTCCAGAGGGAGAGACGGAGAGAGAGAGGGTCTGTCTCTGTCCACCTCCTCCCTCTCCACCTCCGGTCTCCCCCACCTCTCTCACCCCCCACAAACACTCTCCTCCCCACACATACCAGCTCCTCACAATGCCGCTGGCATCTCGAGGAAGAGACACAGGAGAGAAGGAGTTGGTAATTGTCCATTTCAATACAGAGGAGAATCCTTACATCTCCCATTGACATCAATACATGATTATGTGTTAGTGAGTGAAAACTCAAAGTTAGGATTAACCACACACAGTGCCTAGTGAAAGTACTCACACATTTGCCCAGTTTTCAAATTTTGCTGCTGTTAAGGAATTTAGCCTCAGCTGCAGCCCCACGCTAGGGAATACTGTGTGTGTGCTGAAACTGAAAGCTAGATTGTGTCACTGGCGGTCGGGAGGGAACTTCATGCAGAGCTAACAATTAATGGCTGGGTTTGTCTGTGGTCTGGGATCCAGGAGACCCAAAGCACGAAACATACTGTACATGAAATAGATCATTTAATAGTTTGCTGCAAAAATTATTGCTAGCAATAAAAAATGAAAAACAACACACATAATCCAGATGTTTTATTTATTTATTAAGAAATATCAGAACGATGTCAGAGACTGGAATTAAATCAAATCAAATTGTATTTGTCACATAGACCTTACAGTGAAATGCTTACTTACAAGCCCTTAACCAACAATGCAGCTAAGAAAAATAAGTGTTTTGAAAAATAGATAAGTAAAAAATTAAACGGACAAATAATTAAAGAGCAGCAGTAAAATAACAGTAGTGAGGCTATATACAGGGGGTACCGGTACAGAGTCAATGTGTGGGGGCACTGGTTCAAATCAAATCAAATCAAATGTTATTGGCCACATGCGCCGAATACAACAGGTGCAGACATTACAGTGAAATGCTTACTTACAGCCCTTAACCAACAGTGCATTTATTTTTAATAAAAAAAAGTAGAATAAAAGAACAAAAAAGTGTTGAGAAAAAAAGAGCAGAAGTCAAATAAAATAACAGTAGGGAGGCTATATATACAGGGGGGTACCGGTGCAGAGTCAATGTGCGGGGGCACCGGCTAGTTGAGGTAGTTGAAGTAATATGTACATGTGGGTAGAGTTAGTTAGTCAAGGTAATTTAGGTAATATGTACAGTTGAAGTCGGAAGTTTACATACACTTAGGTTGGAGTCATTAAAACTCAATTTTCAACCACTCCACAAATTTCTTGTTAACAAACTATAGTTTTGGCAAGTCGGTTAGGACATCTACTTTGTGCATGACACAAGTAATTTTTTCAACAATTGTTTACAGACAGATTATTTCACTAAAACATAAACACCATGGGACCCCGCAGCCGTCATACGCTCAGGAAGGAGACGCGTTCAGTCTCCTAGAGATGAACGTACTTTGGTGCGAAAAGTGCAAATCAATCTCAGAACAACAGCAAAGGACCTTGTGAAGATGCTGGAGGAAACAGGTACAAAATTATCTATATCCACAGTAAAACGAGTCCTATATTGACATAACCAGAAACGCCTCTCAGCAAGGAAGAAGCCACTGCTCCAAAACCGCCATAAAAAAGACAGACTACGGTTTGCAACTGCACATGGGGACAAATATTGTACTTTTTGGAGAAATGTCCTCTGGTCTGATGAAAAAAAAATAGAACTGTTTGGCCATAATGACCGTTGTTATGTTTGGAGGAAAAAGGGGGATAATTGCCAGCCGAAGACCACCATCCCAACCGTGAAGCACCGGGGTGGCAGCATCATGCTGTGGGGGTGCTTTGCTGCAGGAGGGACTGGTGCACTTCACAAAATAGATGGCATCATGAGGAAGGAAAATTATGTGGATATATTGAAGCAACATCTCAAGACATCAGTCAGGAAGTTAAAGCTTGGTCGCAAATGGGTCTTCCAAATGGACAATGACCCCAAGCATACTTCCAAAGTTGTGGCAAAATGGCTTAAGGACAACAAAGTCAAGGTATGGGAGTGGCCATCACAAAGCCCTTAACCTCCATCCTATAGAAAATGTGTGGGCAGAACTGAAAAAGCGTGTACGAGCAAGGAGGCCTACAAACCTGACTCAGTTACACCAGCTCTGTCAGGAGGAATGGGCCAAAATTCACCCAATTTATTGTGTGAAGCTTGTGGAAGGCAAGCCGAAACGTTTGACCCAAGTTAAACAATTTAAAGGCAATGCTAACAAATACTAATTGAGTGTATGTAAACTTCTGACCCACTGGGAATGTGATGAAAGAAATAAAAGCTGAAATAAATCATTCTCTCTACTATTATTCTGACATTTCACATTCTTAAAATAAAGTGGTGATCCTAACTTACCTAAGACAGGGACTTTTTACTAGGATTAAATGTCAGGAATTGTGAAAAACTTAGTTTAAATGTATTTGGCTAAGGTGTATGTAAACTTCCGACTTCAACTGTACATATAGGTAGAGTTAAAATAAACAGAGACTTGCAGCAGCGTAAAAGAGGGGGTGGGGGGGAGGACAATGCAAATAGTCCTGGTAGCCATTTGATTAGCTGTTCAGGAGTCTTATGGCTTGGCGGTAGAAGCTGTTAAGAAGTATTTTGGACCTAGACTTGGTGCTCCGGTACCTCTTGCCGTGCGGTAGCAGAGAGAACAGCCTATGAGTAGGGTGGCTGGAGTCTTTGACAATTTTTAGGGCCTTCCTCTAACACTGCCTGGTATAGAGGTCCTGGATGGCAGGAAGCTTGGCCCCAGTGATGTACTTGGCCGTACGCACTACCATCTGTAGTGCCTTGCGGTCGGAGGCTGAGCAGTTGCCATATACAAATATATATACAAATATATACATAAATATACACTGCTCAAAAAAATAAAGGGAACACTTAAACAACACAATGTAACTCCAAGTTAATCACACTTCTGTGAAATCAAACTGTCCACTTAGGAAGCAACACTGATTGACAATAAATGTCACATGCTGTTGTGCAAATGGAATAGACAACAGGTGGAAATTATAGGGAATTAGCAAGACACCCCCAATAAAGAAGTGGTTCTGCAGGTGGTGACCACAGACCACTTCTCAGTTCCTGGCTGATGTTTTGGTCACTTTTGAATGCTGGCGGTGCTTTCACTCTAGTGGTAGCATGAGACGGAGTCTACAACCCACACAAGTGGCTCAGGTAGTGCAGCTCATCCAGGATGGCACATCAATGCGAGCTGTGGCAAGAAGGTTTGCTGTGTCTGTCAGCGTAGTGTCCAGAGCATGGAGGCGCTACCAGGAGACAGGCCAGTACATCAGGAGACGTGGAGGAGGCCGTAGGAGGGCAATAACCCAGCAGCAGGACCGCTACCTCCGCCTTTGTGCAAGGAGGAGCAGGAGGAGCACTGCCAGAGCAAAATGACCTCCAGCAGGCCACAAATGTGCATGTGTCTGCTCAAACGGTCAGAAACAGACTCCATGAGGGTGGTATGAGGGCCCGACGTCCACAGGTTGGGGTTGTGCTTACAGCCCAACACCATGCAGGACGTTTGGCATTTGCCAGAGAGCACCAAGATTGGCAAATTCGCCACTGGCGCCCTGTGCTCTTCACAGATGAAAGCAGGTTCACACTGGGCACATGTGACAGACGTGACAGAGTCTGGAGACGCCTTGGAGAACGTTCTGCTGCCTGCAACATCCTCCAGCATGACCGGTTTGGCGGTGGTTCAGTCATGGTGTGGGGTGGAATTTCTTTAGGGGGCCGCACAGCCCTCCATGTGCTCGCCAGAGGTAGCCTGACTGCCATTAGGTACCGAGATGAGATCCTCAGACCCCTTGTGAGACCATATGCTGGTGCGGTTGGCCCTGGGTTCCTCCTAATGCAAGACAATGCTAGACCTCACGTGGCTGGAGTGTGTCCACCAACGCCACGTTGCACCACAGACTGTCCAGGAGTTGGCGGGTGCTTTAGTCCAGGTCTGGGAGGAGATCCCTCAGGAGACCATCCGCCACCTCATCAGGAGCATGCCCAGGCGTTGTAGGGAGGTCATACAGGCACGTGGAGGCCACACACACTACTGAGCCTCATTTTGACTTGTTTTAAGGACATTACATCAAAGTTGGATCAGCCTGTAGTGTGGTTTTCCACATTAATTTTGAGGGTGACTCCAAATCCAGACCTCCATGGGTTGATAAATTTGATTTCCATTGATAATTTTTGTGTGATTTTGTTGTCAGCACATTCAACTATGTAAAGAAAAAAGTATTTAATAAGATTATTTCATTCATTCAGATCTAGGATATGTTGTTTAAGTCTCCTGAGTGGCGCAGTGGTCTAAGGCACTGCATCGCAGTGCTAGCTGTGCCACTAGAGATCCTGGTTCGAATCCAGGCTCTGTCGCAGCCGGCCGCGACCGGGAGACTCATGGGCAGCGCACAATTGGCCTAGCGTTGTCCAGGGTAGGGGAGGGAATGGCCGGCAGGGATGTAGCTCAGTTGATAGAGCATGGCGTTTGCAACGCCAGGGTTGTGGGTTCGATTCCCACGGGGGACCAGTATGAAAAAAATATATATATATATATGTATTCACTAACTGTAAGTCGCTCTGGATAAGAGCGTCTGCTAAATGACTAAAATGTAAATGTAAGTGTTCCCTTTATTTTTTTGAGCAGTGTATATATATTATACATATAATACTGTCTATAATGGTGTGTATAGACAGTATGGACAGTATATGTACAACAGTAGTAATATAGGATGATAGAATACAGTATATGCAGTTTATTCGGAAAGTATTCAGACCCATTGACTTTTTCCACATTTTGTTACGTTACAGCCTGATTCAAAATTAATTAAATAGTTTTTTTCCCTCATCAATCTACACACAATACCCCATAATGACAATGCAAAAACAGGTTTTTAGAATTTCTTTGCTCATTTATGACAAATTAAAAATGGAAATATCACATTTACATAAGTATTCAAACCCTTTACTCAGTACTTTGTTGAAGCACCTTTGGCAGCGATTACAGCCTCGAGTCTTCTTGGGTATGGCGCTACAAGCTTGGCACACCTGTATTTTGGGAGTTTCTCCCATTCTTCTCTGCAGATCCTCTCAAGCTCTGTCAGGTTGGATGGGG